ATGGGCCAGACGACTAGATTCAGCAGCGATTCTCTCGAACAGATCGTTGACAAAGCTGTTCATGATGGACATGGCTTTACTGGAAATGCCGGTATCGGGATGAACCTGTTTCATCACTTTGTAGATGTAGATAGAGTAGCCTTCTTTCCTCTTATGTTTCACTTTCTTGCCATCGGCCCGGACAGGTTTAGTAAAAAATTGTTGAGACTAAATTGTTTATAAACTGAAACTGGTAAAGTAACCACGAATAAGTAGAATTAAATGTTTGAAATACTCAATTGGGAGAGAAAACTGGCTTGTAACATTCAATATCTCTAAAAACAAACTCGTAACGTTTCATCATCACCGAGGGGAGACCCCCTCAATCTTCGCCTGTCATGATGAACGGTTGTTCTTTCAGGGAGGTTCATTGACTTGAATGCCCATTAGGTCTCAAGTTTATCCCAGACTTCAAGTGGAACTCATACATTCGATCCATAGCTAAAAATACTAGGAAAATGGCCGGTTCTTTGTACCGCTCCAGTAATTACCTGACTCCTAACTCCTGGTATGATCTATCTTTACAAGAGCCAAATCAGACAATATCTGGGCTGGAACTGTCCAGTCTAGTTTTGAGACAGTTCAAAATTATCTACGCGCCCTTGCTACTCTACAGTTCACTTCCCACACACACCGAAAGCCTCTCGTTACTCCATCGCTATTTCCATGGCATGTGTTCTGAAGAGCTAGACTCGTTAGTCTATCCAGTTCTGACATTCACAGCTAAGATCCACCTTGTTACGTAAACTCGAATGAATCATCCTCATTCATTTCGTATTCCATTTATAAGGAGGAAGTTCCATTCGAACAGCCAATTCTCAAGAACCGCTACTTTGTGAAACAGACTCCCGAGATGATGTTTCCGTGATCAGTAAAATTTGAACATCTTCAAGCATAGGGTCAATCCTTATTCTTCCTGCATATCCTCATAAAGTGCAATTCTTATCTCCTTTTCCTCCTACTCCTCCTCTTATATTCATACAATAACCTCATTCAGTCGCCCTCTGGCTCTTGGGCCTTACATTATGCGGAAAATGTGTAAAAAATATACTCTTTGATATAGAACATAACATAAAAACGGTTATTAATTTTGGCATAAAACAGCACAAAAATTGTGTTATTGTAAACATTGAGATGAATGTGAAAAATTATTTCTGACCTTTCTTATAAAGATCTTATCTTTAAATATTGAAGACCGTCTTGGGTAAGACGATATATTACATCCGCGTTTTGGGTAAGACGATAAACTACGTCCAACAGCAAGGCCTCTGATCAGGAGGTTGTGAGGAGCGTGGAACCACCTCTGAATTACTAGTCTTCCCAAGTTCACCCTGACCCGGGGTGGTAGCACCTTTTAGGGTCCCAACTATGGGCAAATAATTAACCTCCAAACTGGTGTCAAAACACTATGAAAATGTAAAAATAGGTTTTAATACCAGCAATACTTTATAAAAGATTGTTACCAGCAATAGATTTTTGAAAAAAAATATTACCAGTAATATATTTTTGGAAAATTTTGAAAAAAAAAAATATAATACCAGCTATACATTTTTGAAAAAATAAATATTACCATCTATACATTTTTTGAAAAAAAATATTACCCGCGATATATATTTGAAGGAAAAATATTACCAGAAATAGATTTTTGAAAAAAAAATATTAACGACAATGTCTGACAAATCTAACAATAACCAATTGAGGTTGATATGCTGTAAAATAAACCAAACCAAACCAAATATTGAAGAAGTACGTAATTGATTTTGTGTTGTAAAGTTAATATATATATATATATATATATATATATATATATATATATATAAAGAACAGTAAGATACATAATCCGGTGTTCTTATTGATTTTTTGATTTTTACAAAACAGTGCTCATGTAAATTTACAGAGCATAAATATTATAAATTAACTGATTGAAAATATGTCATTCATTCACTTAGGAGCTGTAGCATGTTAATTTTTATTAACTATTGTTGTATCAATTATGAGTTACGTTCGAAAAAGAGGTTAAGTTTTGGAAGGGTAGGAGTGTATATGCCAACGAATTCTGACATCCGTTAAATGCATGTCGTCTGTTTTTTTATTATTATTAACGCCCCTGTCTGAATGATTGGATTTCTCTGTATTCGCTTGAAGATGAAACGGAACGAATGGTTTTAATTTAATTATATAATTAAATTTAAAGTTTTTAGCTTCCATTTTTGAAACATGGCTATTACTGTGTAGCAAAAAAAGATATTTTCAATCAGTTAATTTATAATATATATATATATATATATATATATATATATATATATATATATATACCTATGAGTATAAGGTAAATAATGTAATATATCTTACCATGTTCTAAATAGAATTTTTTTAAAATTAGAAAATAAATACAAAAAATGAACTCTCAAGACGATGAAAAATTTTGAATCAGGTTTTGTTTAATATTATTTTCTTCTTCCTCTGAAGATTTATTCACTGCATTATAGCAGATATTCAAATATTCAAATATTCAAATTAACATTGAAACGTAGATCCTATTTAAACTGAATTTGTCTTTGAACATTTGAAGAATTTATCCAAATCTTTATTCTATTTTAGATAAAGATTGCTCTATGGAAATTTGTAGATCCCAAGTGTGCTATACATATATGTATATTTGTCTCGCAGAACTCGAGGTAAACGGTAATGTATTATATGACTAATTTCCGAAGGTGCGTACTAGAAAATTGGAAGACATATATAGCTACTTCGGTACGGTGGAAGACTTCAAGTATTATCACACAAAAATATCGCCTTCCATTGATATTGTCAAGGTGGTGGATGCAGTCTGGTATATGAATGAAAATTCTTTAAAATTAAACCTAAAATACCCTAACCTTTAGCAGTGTTGATATTGACAAGAACAAGTTTCGTTTTAAGAATTTTCTTTTGCAATTTAAAAAATTGTGTTACTGGGCTAAAATTCAAAGCAATTCATTTACAGTTCCTAAAAGGATATTTATCTGACTAAGCTTTGCAAAGAGCTCACCACTTGACTATTATTGACGATAATTATTACATCGTTTTATTCGTTATTACAGGGTATATTGTTGGATAGCGATTACATTCTTCTTTATTTACCGTGTCCCCTCAGGGCGTAAACGATCATGGCTCTCCACAATTTCCTGTCCTAAGTACATCTTAATAAATTTTGTCTTTTTGCTATTTCTCTTAAACCCTGTTCCGCCATCCATTTAATAAAGCGCATCACTTATATTATGCGTTGTTTTCCTCTGTCCCTCAATCTGTCCTGTGAGTATCAGATTTTCCAAACCCTCCTTCCTCATTACGTGCTCCAGAAATTTCAACTCTTTCTTCCTGATGTTAAGTATAAGGTTCTTTTTCTTTGGTTCGATTTTCTATAAAACTTCGGTGTTACACACATGTTCGATCTATGGTATCCTCAGCATCCTTCTGTAGAACTACATTTCTGTTGCTTCAAGTCTCTTTTTCATCATTGTCCAACATTCACCGTCATATAAGAGGACATATATCACATAACAATTCACTACGCTATCTTTGTTCCAAATGATGTTTTCCTGTCTCTTAATACTCTGCTTAGCTTCTGGAATGCATCTTTGGCTGTTACAATGCGTCTTCGGATTTCACAGTCACACTTTCCGTCCTCTGTTAGAATGCGTCTCAGAGTTTTAAATTCTTGTACTTGATTGATTTTGGTATCTCTAATTTCTAATTTGCATATTGGGTTGTTCATTTTAATAACAACCATGCCTTCTATCTTCTTGTAATTGATGTTTAGTCCTTTCTTCTCGCTTTCCTTCACTACCCTGTGTAGGAGCTTTTGTAGTTTTTCTGTTGATATTTCTCTGTATTGCCGGTTGTTCTCGTTCATCGTGGAAGAGATCACAGAATTCGGATGATTTGTTTTGTTTTATGGCTCATTAGTCTGATAGTTCGATGGAGATCACTTTCATTTACACCTGGTTGCGTAGACAGTGCTATGAAAATAGATCTCGTTAGGTTTTCCGGTATATCGCCAACTGTTGTAGATTTCATTTATTATTTCTGTAATCTTATGCCGAAATCATCTAAGGCTGTCAGCATTTCTATTACAATTGCGTCTGGCCCTGCCGCTTTCTTTCTGTTCAATTTAGCCTGTTCAGATTCCACTTCAACTTTTAATATTTCCGGTCTATCGATATTTATTTGTATTGCCAGTTGTTCTCTTTCACCGTGGAAAAGATCTCTGGTGTATTAGTTCCATCTTCGAAGAAATTTTTGTTTCTAATATCATCGTGCCATCCTTGGCTCTTGCACATCTTTTTGATGAGAATGTCTTTTGTTCTTTTAGTTCTTTTAGATTAACAAAACTAAAACATTGTTTGATCCAGATTTCGTAGGTCTTAAATAATATCTTGCTAAAACACGTGTTGATTTTCATGAACTTGAGAATTGCTTTCAATTGAATTTTTTGCAAGAAGGTTCTTCAGGGAATAAATATGTTAGTTTCATCAATTTCTTTAAATTACCCATCTCCCTGAAAAAAAACGAATTAATCCACACTGTTGTCACTAACTACGCTTCCCAGAATCAGATATTTAGTAACCATAGCGACAAGATTAAAACTAGAAACAAAGTCAGCTTATTTAACCCTGTTAAAAATAAATTCTTAGCGTAGAAGTCGAAAGGACAGAGGTCTTTAGAGAATGTTGCAACTAATGTGAAAGTGTATTCTGCAAACATTGTTTGGATTGTTGTCCTCATCTTCGTTGCCATATACACGACGTTTCAGCCATTGTACGCGCCGGCCATCTTCCAATCACCCGAAGAAGGTCGGAGCGTACAACGGCCGAAACGTCGTGAATATGGCAACGAAAATGAGGACAACAGTCCGAACAATGTAAATAATGTGAATAATTACAATACCTCATCTCACAAATATAGACAGATCCTGAAGAAGACCGGAACCTACAACAGCTGAAACGTCGCGAATAATTACAATACCTCATATAGAGAGATATTGTAAATTTTATAATGATTATGGTCAGTCTTGTTCTTATTGTGCTAAAAACAATACTCCAAAAGATAGGCCCGCTAGATTAAATTATCTACGTTGCGTATCAGTGGTTTACGGCTGGATTACGTCCGATCATTGACGTTAAGCAGCGTTGAATCTGCACAGTACTCAGATGGGTGACTGCTGGGGAATAGCAGATGCTGTTATATACACGACAGGGCTAGCAAGATACAATCTCGCTACTTCGACTAACCCTAACCCTAACCCTAACCCTCGATAATGTGAATGTGTTTCTTTAGTGACATGTCGTAAGACCGACCTGGAGTTTGGTGACTGTACTTGCTGGTCGCAGGGATCCGTCCCTGCGCTGATGGTATCACGGCCGTGACTAGGCTTCGATCGACTCTGAACAGCTTAGACAGGCTATGACCAGCTAAGACCCGCGCCCTGAATGTCTTCACTCGGGTCCCCACGTTAAAAACCGACCTTGTGTCACAACCTGACACAGTGGCGGGTCAAGTAAATACCGTGTGTGTGTGTGTGTGTGTGTGTGTGTGTGTGTGTGTGTGTCAGTGTCAGTGTCAAACATCTAACGGAGAGTTGTCGTGGTCAAGATAATAACCTCCAAATAAATCTAAAGGTCATAATAGCGCATTGTGTCCTGAAAAGAATAAAAGACAAAAAGCTTGTTTGATTACAAACTTATGTTATAGTACTTATGTTATAGTACTTATGTTATAGTAATTAGTTTTGGGAATAATCTTTTCATTGTCTGCTGTAGGTGTGCCGGTTTTTAAAGGCCGCCAAAAATTCCAATTCTTTATTTGACACCGGAAGTCAAAGGTCTTATTTTTCTAATTATGTGCTTAATAAATTATAAAGGTTACATTTATCGATTTTGAGATGAAAACCTTCTTAGGTTATCTGCAACAAAAAAGTTAGATGTTGTTGTTTTGAATATGAAATTTGTTGGTAATAACTCCTGTTCTTAATGATGAAGATTTTGATATCGATATCACGCTTAATAAATGATAAGGAAAAATCTTGAAAATTTCAATTTTAGACTGATAGCAGATATTAATAAAAAGTAATGGGTTGAAAGTTGTAAATTTTATTCAGTTCATTAGTTTGGCTTGGCAAGTTAATAGTGAGATAACATTTAGAAATACAGTGTAACCCGGATATAAGAGATTTGTCGGGACCGGAGAAGAAGTCTCTTATATCTGGTTTTCTCTTATATCCGGGTTTAGTCTATTTTGTTTAGGTAAGTATGGGAACAATTTGGGACCAGAGAAAATCTCTCTTATATCCGGGTTTCTCTTATATCCGGGTCTCTTAGATCCGGGTCTCTTATATCCGGGTAACACTGTATTATACATTTTTTGTAGCCGGGTCAAGTGGTTCCTTATCAATTTTCTAGAAAACTTGACAATGATTCTATTAAGATTATGGCACAATATTCGTCTTGTTATATCACTCACATTCACCGTCCTTCTCTCACCCACGAGAAGATGCAAAATGTAGAATAATCTTGTATCTTCTTTTGAGATGTGAGATCGATCGGGAACTTGATGGAATCTAGCAGTAAAAAAAAGAATCACCTGGTGAAAGAGTTCTTAGTCTACCGAAAACTAACACTTTGGAAAGGCCTAGATGGAAATTATCTATGGTAGCCAATAGAAAGCTGTAGAATGATCGTTTTATGTGCTATTAATTTAGAAATGTTCTAAATATTTAACTTTACTTCTGTAAGAAATATAAAATTTCTTAGTGACGGGAAAAATGGTTTTTGCTCTTGTAATACAAATTGAAAATTTATAGCAAATATTCTCGAAATCTATTTTATCAAAAATCTTGGCTTCTAACCAGTGGCGTAGCTAGAGTAAACGTCACCCGGGGCGGTCCGCTCAAATGTCACACCAATGACCCAGATTCACCCTATGCTGAATGGTTAGCTGTAGCTAAATTTTGATACATGCTCTACCTCTACTTTACTCTACTGACCGGTACGTTACTGTTTACATGTATGATCCAAGACAAAATACAATGCAACAAAATAATCAGTTCAAATCAAAAGCTGAAAACATTTTCCTACTCACAAATTTCCTGACAATTTATTAGAAAATTTCTGACAGGGGGACAAAACTAGGGGGGGGGTCATATGCCAGTCTGCGAAACCCTGTGTCTCCACCACTGTTTTCAGACTATTTTTGGCACCTTAGCCTGGTTGAAAAATTTTGTTGTGGGTGACATTGTGTCACCCCTCCTGTGCTGGCACCCGGGGCGGTCCACCCCACTAGCTACGCCACTGCTTCTAACGTATATATAAATAAATAGGCGTCGCTTTAGCGTGTGTTCTACCGATCAGTGTATCCTACCAGCACATTTGTATTCTACATTATCAAACATAAGGTGAAAAGCAAAAATGGAAGGAGGGATGCCATTTTATTGTTGTATTATAAAATTTAAAATAAAAAAGAATTATAAAATAAGAAATTTGACTAAAAAATCATAAAACAAGATATTTAAATCCTTTAAAGAAAAAAGTTTGGATAATGTCTTAATAATGTAAGATATAAATGTGGTTATATGATACACGCTAAAGCAGAAAATGATTGGAAGGACACACACTAAAGCAGCATTGATTTATGGATGCATAAATTTTGCATTTGATTTCAATTAAATAAGCCATCATTATAAGTTCATATGTAGTAAATCATTTTTTTCTGCATCTCCAGGTAGCTTGTGCCTGCTTGAAACTTTAGTCAACAATCATGAAGCATGTATACCTAGTGTCCATTTGCACACGTGTATATAAATTCTTTGCTCTGCTGAGTCATTTATACTCTTTACTATTCCAAGTTTCACAGTCCTTTTATCTATCACTTCTATTTAATTACTCTCTCGTCACAATACAATGAAAATTCTTTCCTTCTGGATTTTTTAATATACTTTTTAATATATTTTTTGTTTAAAATCATCATTTTTTATTGTCTAAGGAATTTTTCTTTTCTTCTGAACAAAGATTTGAGTGCCATTTTAGCATGTGTCTCTACCAATCAGTGTATCCTACCAGCACACTTGTATCTTACATTATCTAACGTGAAGTGAAAAGCAAAAATGGAAGGAGGGATGCCATTTTATTGTTGTATTATAAAATTTAAAATAGAATTATAAAATAAGAAATTTGACTAAAAATCATAAAACATGCTATTTGAATCTTTTAAATAAAAACATTCTGAATGTCTTTTAACATATCGAGAGAAAAAAATGAGACAATGCCTTCATAATGTAGGATAGAAATGTGGTGGTAGGACACACACTAAAGCAGAAACTGATTGGTAAGACACACGCTAAAGTGGCACCAATAAATATTTGGTTAAACAAAGCCATTGAATATAAAGTCAATAATGACAATTTCTTATATTCTTGATACCTAAAATGGTCTGTCTTATTTAAAATTACAAATTAAATATTTATATAAATTTTAAGTGTTTATTTTAATTAGCAAAGAAAAATTTCTGCAATAAAGATTGATTTATTCATTGCATTACTTCTCGAAGGAAAAATATAAGAATTTAAGTCAGTTTTATCAGCTGTAGAGGACACACTTCTGAACGATAACATAAGGAGTTTTATTAAACAACGAGTCTTCAACACTACGACTGATTTATTTTTATTTTTTAACGATGCCTACTCAGAACAAGCCATGAAGATGACCACAATTGTTCACTTCCTTATCTGAACTGTTTAATATTGTTGACAACTCGTTCAAATATATTCAAAAACATCAAAAATTCAACAAAAGAAGCGGAAATTTTCTTCTATTTAACAGAAGATATTTCTACAAAACAAAGACAAGAATGATTCAACAAACCCTTGTTCCGTAAAAAATCCACACACAGAGAACGAGTTATGAAATTTTTATGATTTAAAAAAGTTTTCGTCTCGTAAAAAAGCGGTTTCTTTCGAACTTTAAGAACTATTCTCGTTTTACTTTTTTCATTTTTTCTTTTTCTTATTTTTTCTTTTTTCTTTCCTTCTTTTTCTTTTTCCTTTTTCTCTTTTTACACATTTTCTTTTTTCTTTTTCTCTTTTTTTATATGTCTTTTCTTTTTTCGCTTTTTGCATATTTTCTTTTTTTCTTTTTCTTTTTGCGTATTTTCTTTCTTTTTGCTTTTTACATATTTTCTTTTTTCCTTTTTACATATTTTCTTTTTTCTTTTTTACATATTTTCTTTTTTCTTTTTTTCTCTTTTTACATATTTTCTTTTTTTCTTTAGTACGTAATTTGTGTGAATAGTAAATGAAATAATTTCTTTCAACTTTATTCATTCAGAATATTGTCTTTCCTTTCACCATTTCTTTCCTTTTTTGATGCTATCTTTATATTTCTCGAATAATATTCATATTCGTATTCTTTATATTTTTTTCTCTACGTTCAAATGTTGATTTTAAAACAAAAATTTTGTGATGATGATGATCATCACACACATACATACATACCTTCAAAAATTCAAATTTCAATAACAATCATTCATTGGATAGAAATCAACGCTGCTATCTTATGCGACAATTTTGAAATCACTATATTTTCCTATAGTAGATTTTGCGCGCTTTTGAGAGAATCGGACTCCAAGAGCCTTCTTAGCTTAGTAAATGTTTTCAGGAAATATTAGCTTCAAATTGCTCAATAAACACATAAGTTGGCGTTGCAATCCACCCACGCACAATATATTTTTCCAGCGCGTGACTAAGTCAAGTTTCCCGCCAAAGCGCTCTGATCCTGTCACTTGATTATGCAATCTATAAATAACAAACACGAGTTTGTCTCTTCCTCTTTTTCCCTCAGGCCTCGTGCTGAATTCCACCTCGCGTGGAAGTGAGGTAAAAATCTCCTTTGTTCTCTATTCTTGCTGCAACATGTGAACCCAGAGAATTATTGTCTTGACCTTGCGGTCAGACGTTAAAGAACATTACCAACATTCACGCAAGTACGTACGAACATTCACCACGAACATTCACCAAAATACGAACGTTCACACACTCACACAAACACAATGCTAAACTGTCTATGTGCTTTGTAAATGTTTTGTTTAATATATATATTTGTTTATATATATTGGTCTTGTTTGTCTTCTTTATCTTCAGTTGGACTTAATCCAAGTCCGCTAATTCTCTTGTAGCTGGACCTTCTTCTAGCAGGAAATATAAACGCACGTGTTTTCTTTATATCTTCACGCCCCTGGTCCTCTACAAATTAACACAATAAGTTTTCATTCTTATTAATAAAATACTGGATCGAAATAAAATTTCGTAGCTTTTATGAATGAATTTCAAGGGCAATATTTCAATAGTTGTACATAGATTTATTCAACAATATATGTGCCATTTTCTTCCATTATCTTTCGTTTTTTTAATTCCATCCTACCAAGACCTGACATTTGTCTTGAGTGACGTACTGGCCTAAGGGGATTTTAAAGACTTCCAGAAAACTGAAGTTCGACCCATTAAAACAATTTTGTAGGAGACGAAATAAGCGAAAATCCCAAAGTGCAAGGTCATGCGAGTACAGTGGGTAGGGTTGGATATTCTATCTAAGCTGTACTAATTTCTACTGACTTTGCAAAGAGATATCTGGTCTGGCGTTGTCTTGATGGAAGACAGCACCCCCTTCCCATTAATTAATTTCGGATATTTTTCATTGATTACTGCTTTTAATCTTTCTAATTGGTAATAAAAAAATAGCTGTTTGAATTCAGCGACCGATTTTGCTATAGGGGTTCGTAAATACATAATGACCTTCCAATATACGGTATCATTTACTTCGGATGCAGACTGAATTTTTTGAGTAGTTTACGATAGCTCGTTACGTTTACTACACCAGGAATTTTTCACTCCACATTATTATAAACAATACATTTTCATCGACTGTAATCATTCTTTAAAAAAAAATGTCGTTTTGTTGCGTTTGAGCAGAAAATCAAAGATGGAAATAGAAATATAGTAAATTAAATTTTTGTTTAATTAACTCGTTAATATTAGAATTTATGAATAGAAAAACGGCTTTGAAACATTAAAAATAAAAATGTCATACAAAAGCCCTTCATATTTTATAATTATTCTTTATAAATTATTGAAAATATTATATAGATAAATGAATTGCCTCCCTTTGTAGGGGTCGTTATCACCGGCCCCTGGGTTGGGCTGAAAGCAGCCTATCATGGCCTCTCTTTTTACCTGTGCCACCGACGATTCAACACGGACAAATTTAGCTCCGTAAAACTCAACCAGCAGCCATATGGTGTCCGAAAATGGAGCGGCCAAGAATACAACATAGAAACGAGGATGTCCCAACAGTTGCAGCAAAGCATCCGAAAACAGAATCCCTCTTCAACCTGAAGACGAATATATTCCGACATTGCAACAAAAATGAGAAGAACTGTTTAACCGAACGAACTTTATTGCCACCAGTTAAGTCCTCGTAAAAACCACTGTTTTTTTTTTTGGGGGGGGGGTGCAACGATTTTAAACCCAATTTTTCTATCTTCCCTTTACTTTTCTTCCTTTATCTGATATAAAGCCTTTCTTTTTTTTCCACTCAAGTTTGGTGTTGACCTGTTTTCTCTCGCCGTGTCGCGTCAATGCTCTTTTTACCCTTATTTTCTACAGAGGACAAATTATTGGTCACATAAATTCAAAGGGTATAAAAATCAGCATAAAATTATTGCAAACGGAATCTAGAGAAAAAAGAAGTCTTGCATCTTCCCGACTTCACAGGAATTGGTTGGTTAGTACAATAAATGACTATCGATCTAAGTAAGGAACACGTTGAAAGCCATCTTTAACATAAAAAAAAACTTTTAAAATAATGATTATGTACTGAGAACAATTAATTTCCAGATTAATAAATGGAATAACAAATGTATGTAATGGTCTCCGATATTGTAGTATTTCATTTGAAGAGGATAAATTACAAAATCTGTTGCTATTCAGGTGTAAATGAAGGCAGCTCTACTTTCGGGAAAGACATCATAAGTTTTTTTCAAACCTTTCTTGAAGTTACGAGTTTGCTTTCACTATGCATCTAAGGATTTTACATAGATAATCATGTTTTATTGTTTTATCTCTGATAAAAATAAAAACTTTAAATATATGAACCAGTTTTGCTTACGTTTTCGCTCATCGACTTCTAAATTGATGCGTTTGCAATAAACAGACGTGAGTATCCGCCTGAAGTCCTATTTGCGCGGCAAAATCATAACTGTACGCGAGTAAACAAAAGCAACAGACATGAAATTTATTTCGAAGACGTAAGTATTTTTAAAAGGTTCAAATCTTATTACAGCTACAAATGTAAAAGTGCAAATATATCTGCAAAGACGCAATCCAGGGTTGGATTAACCATTAAACAAAATAAGCACGTGCTTAGTGCATCAACGGAAGGGGGGGGCACTGAAATTATAATGATATGATGTTGTTGTATATGTCTAAAAAGAAATAAGTCAAATATGATTAACATTTGAATCAACGGGCTGCCATTATGAACGAGGAGACAACAGACCAGCAGTGAATCTTTATTGCCATTCTGATTGGTTAATAAAGGAATGAGACAAGGGAGATAATGATTTTATTTACTCAATCAATACTCATATCAGCTCTCTTGAATAAGTTAGTATTACGAATTAACTAAATGGGATTTAATTTTTGTGAACAGGAGTAGACTAACTTCATGTTCATTTGACATTATGCTTATGTTTATGTGACACGTTTGTTGATTACACGATCACTTTTGGTCATATTTCTGTTAGAATCTGGTTGTGGCTCATATGACAGCGGCTGCTCAGCTGTGATTGATCCTTTCTTGGTTGATGTTATTCTGGGTTGGAACTGATGATCAGCCTCTCTCGATGGACATATGTACCTTCAGTTCCTTCTATATTTATTTCCAGATAGTGTTTCCACGTTACATTTTCTCGGTTGATATCTTTTATTTGCACCAAGACTCCATACTAGTATACTTAAATCGCAGGTGTACAGAAGCCCGAAAACCTTTTAAGTGCTTAGAGCCCTTATTGACCTTAATCCGGCACTGAATTGCAATTATTGCAAAATTGTTTGGTTAGCAGAAATGGAATGAATGTTGAGTAAAAGTAAATATTAACTGATTGATGCCAATGTTAAAACAACTCACCTAAAGCAATTATTCATATAATTGACCAGTTTTGAAGATATGGAAAAACCTAAATATCTGTAAGACTAATTTTTGAGAAGGAGACATCGTATAAAAATATTAACATAGCCTGTGGTGTGCTGATCAGATTTGTTTTCAAATTGTTAATGAGGTTGTTAGTGAGGCTGCGTTTTTAGTGAGAGCACATACATTTAAATTTGCAAAGAACACAAGGAAAGAAGAACAAGAGATCAAATTGCATTCAACAATAAAATATATATTGAAAATCAACGAATACAACAGTTGTTCTTATGTATTAATATTTAGGGAGAGAAAAGTAGCTTCCTTTGTACTGATATCTGATGCAAGATAGGAATAATGTACTTAATAACTTTGTTATTGAAATGTTCAGAGTTCAGTGAATAAGATTTGAATTCAAGAATGAAAAGTTTGTACAAAAAGGATAATAGAATTTGTTTTGTGACTTGGCTTGTGACAGTTAACAGTGTAGTGTAATGGTAGTTCTGTATCTGTGTGTATGTGAGTAGAAGAATGTAGATACGCGTGCGTTGCTGAGTTCTGCTGATTTATTGTTCTACTAACTTATTTCTGGAGTACGAACTGTTTAAATACTTTTTGGGTAGGCGCCAGAGAGAAGCGGGAAAAGTATCGAAAGGAATATCTAAAATACACGATTGGATAAAAATTGACCAATCACTGATTTTTTTACAAAACCAAGTTAGGCAAAGTCATGGCAGAAAATTTTGTGTGGTTACTGCGATAGGTAAATTGTCCTGTAGTAAACAGTACTTATTTTCTATCCAATTATAAGTGAGTATTTTGTGGGCGTGGTAAATCGGGGTAGTCACTACACTCCTGATGATATTGAAGTGAACAAAACAAGATCTAGATTTAAAATTCAAATGCTAAGCACTGACTCAGTGATCCAAAACAAAATTAAAAAAATGTCGAAATTACAAGTTTTGTTTTGATTCACTTTTGCGAATCAAAACAAAGGTTTGTAAAATGTCACGAGTCTTTTTAATTTCTAACAAAATCACTGAGTCAGTGCTTAGCATTTGAATTTTAAATCTAGATCTTGTTTTGTTC